ATTCCCCATGATGAGACTGGTAGTCAACTCTATGGTGGGATCTACCACAAGCAGCTGAGTAGCTGCTTTGAGTATGCAGTCTGCTTCCCATATATAAGCAGCAGCTTTGGGAATGGTAGCTAGCCATAGCACACTTAGACCCTTCATGTAGCCATGTTACTGTTCAGCAGCCTGCCATGCTCTGCCAACCTTGGGACTTACAATGGATTTGAATTAATGGCCTGCCATGTGGTTTGGTAACATTGGGACTGTGCCATTTTATTTGTCGACCTTTGGCTTGTTAGCCTCAGCAGGCAGTAGCTGCTTGAGTGAAGAGATGTCTCTAGCTTCAGTGGTCTGGGAGTGAGAGGCAGAGCTGAAGCCCAAGGTCAAGGGGCTTTCATACAGCACCTAGAGCCTGGCACTTTGAACTCAGACTTCTAGCCTCCCAAACTGTAAAAGAATAAACTCCTGTTTGTTAAGGCTATCTCATTTGTGGTGTATTTCTGTCAGAGCAGTACTAGGTAACCAGAACAGTGCCTAAGGCATTTGATTGCTAACCAGAAGGCTGGCGGTTCAAACCCACCAGCCACTCCCTGGAAGGAAGGTTATGCAATCTACACAATCTACTTCCATGGTGATACACCTCGGACACCTGAGGAGGGGTCGCCATGAGTTGGGTCCGACTCGACCTCAGAGTATGTGTGTATGTGTGTGTGTGTATGTGTGTGTATGTAAGGTTTATTAGGGAAGTAACAGGATACAATTCAAGTTCAGGAATGTGCTCAGGACACAATTCTTCGATTAGGACAGTCTCCCCTGTGCTATGCCTTAGGCATGCTTCTCTGGCCCTTAGCCTCTTGGCCTGGCCTCTGCCCTGCTCAGGCAAGTGTTATAAAGCTCTTTTAGCTCTGCTCATAGCACACCTAGGTGCACCCCACTCCACCAAGGGCATTCAGCTTTCTCTCTCTGCGGGCCAGGTAAGCCTGCTGCTCGGTCTCTAGCCTCTTGGTTCCACTGCCACCATCTCTCCGCCAGGGATCTCTCAGCTGGTCGTCTCTCCTGGGCTGTCTCTGCAAGGGGATCTCTGCCCAGGAAGTTCAGCACAGGGATCTCGGGTCCAAAGACACACTCCACTCCAACTCCAGCTCTCTCTTGATGTCTCTCTTGATGGCAATGAGAAATTCCCTTCTGCCTCTAGGAGGGCTCATTTTAAGCCTAGAAGAGTGACAAAACTAACTAATCCCAACATTGTGGTGTGGTGGTAAAGTGCTCGAGTCAGATCCTACTCATAATGACCCCTCCTTGGGTTTCTGAGGCAGTATCACTAAGGAAGTGGATTGCCTAACCTTCGTTCCAAGGAGTGGCTGGTGGGTTTGAACCACCAACCTTCTGGTTAGCAGTCAAATGCCTTAGGCACTATGCTACCAAAGCTCCCAGCATTAGAGTTTCATATACCTTATTTGTATGGTCCCACCCAGTAATCTGGTGGAAGTCACAAAGACCATAGCTAGAAAAGCCATACCAAGTAATTCACTGCACCGCAAGCCATCCTCTGGCTTTTCTACCCATGTCCCTTTCATACTTCAAAAATTAGCATCTTCTTCATAATCAGTTTAAGAAAAAGCACACCCATGAAAAGTATCTAAGCCAGCCACCTCATGCCTTTATTTCCCACCATCTTAGATAGCCAATTTCTAATTTGCCCATCCTTATCAAGCCACTCCTCAGAAAGAAGAGGGGGCAATCTAATTCTGTAGTGATACTGCCTCAGAAACCCAAGGAGGGGTCGCTATGAGTCGGGTCTGACTGGACGGCACATAACAACAACAACAACAACAACATCAAACCAGTACTCTGAAGAAACAAACATGTTCCTTTCTCTGAAGAATCTTCTGTTTCTATTAGAACTTTGAGCACCTGCATTCATACATTAGCAAAGTTCTGTCCAAAGCAAGGCATCAAATTGCAAGAACTTAACACCAGTTCAGTGTTAAACATCTTCCTCTTCATTCACTTGGGTTCTGGTCAGCTTAACCCTAGCCATCCCAGCTAGGTTGTGGGTACCAGCTTTGAGCTTGAGAATCACACTCCTCCTTTCACTTCAGACCAGCCAGCCCCTTCACTCTCACATCCCTAGCCCTCAGGGGCTAGTTCCAATGCCCATAGGCTCAGAAGTCCACACAACTCCTTGCACTTCAGACCAACCATCCCTTCCTCTCATCCTCAGTCTCTGTGGGCTAGGTCAAAGAGTACCAAACTCAGCCCATTTCTTCACTGTTGCACTTCCCCTACTTCAACTTATCAAGTGGACCCAGGTGGTCAAAATGAGCAGCATATAAGCCTGCTTCTCACTGGCTCTCTTTAACTTCAAGTCCTGAAGAGATCTCTCTCTTGGGCCATGATATTCCTGCCTCAATGCACTCAAAGCCAAACCACTTGCTAGAAATTCAAAAAGCCAAACAATCATATTTTGTTTTTCTCTGCAGATCCTTTCTTCAAATGTAAATCTTCTGTTCTCTCAGTAGTTCTAGTAGAACTCTATGTCTTTTCAAATGCAAATTTTCTGTCCCTGAAGGTTCTGGGTGGTGCTCAGGTTTTCTACCTAAATCCCCAATACTCTACACACCAAAAAAAAAAAAAAAACCTCACAGCTCACAGCTGTCCAGTCAGTTATGACTCATAGGGACCCCTCCTTGGGTTTCCGAGGCCTTCTGGTTAGCAGTCAACTGCCTTAGGCACTATGCTACCTGAGCTCCTCTGTATCAATAGTACCTTCAAATAAACACACAATCCAAAATACATAATCCTTTTAAACCATCCCAGTTTCATCTCTTCACCTTGATTATCTTCCCATCCTATGCATATGGCCTTGGGCCTCTGGCTGGGTATAACCAAAAGGCCTAGCCTCCAGATCAATTATCTTCTTTAATCAGCCTGGCTTTTGCCTCAAACCTTTCTCCCTTCAGCTGCAGCAAAGTATCTTTTGTATTCCTTTCCACCATTACAGATAACCACAACCAAAGTAACTACCTAAGAATCAAAAGCTTCACTTCCTAGGCTCCTTTCTTGTTTCTTTTACAAGGTTTCAAACTTCCATGGGGAGCTCTGGTGGCATAGTGCCTACAGCATTTGACTGCTAACCAGAAGGCTGGCAGTTCAAACCCACCAGCCACTCCTCTGAAGGAAGGCTGGGCAATCTACTTCTGTAGTGATATCGCCTCGGGTTGCTAGGAGTTGAATCCGACTCCACGGTAGCATGCAGCGTGTGTGTAGTGTGTGTTATGTGTGTGGGTGTGTATATACTTCCGTGAGTCTGGAGCCACTGCTACAAATCCCACTCCAGACAAAAACTGCTTGAACAATTTCTTTTAGAAAGATCAGCACAAAGCCAGTTCCTATGAGGCAGAAGTTAAAGATGTCCCAAATGCCCAACTTCTCCAAACTGCTGTGCCATTCCATCACCTCTGACATCAACACCTCTTCCTCCCGAGTAAGGTCTCTCCTGTCTTAGGGCTCAGTAGGCTGTAACATCTCACAGAACTCTTAAACTCACAAGGAAATGCCTCATGTGGTGGTAGTGGAGGCTGGGAAGCTAGCAGGCTGGCAAGTCTCAGGTCTATGGCTAAGTCTGGAGGATTCTCCCAACTCAGGTGGTTGTAAGGCACTATGCCACCAGAGTTCCTAAACTTTGAACTATAATAATAAATACTTTTAAAAATCAGTGAATTTTGGGATGGTTTGTTACACAATAATAGCTAATTGATACACTGCTATATTCCAGTGCTGAGAACAATACTAAGATTATGAGAACTCAATAATTCTGGAATGAATTATTTATTTGAGAGGGAGAAGGAATAGCCAGAGAAGTAAGAGAAAATACAAGAGAATAAGGTCTCATAATAGCCAAGAGAGAAGAATGTTTCAAGATGGATGGTCAGTTGGGACAAACGAGGTTCAAGTCTACTAAATCATGGTAGAAAAGTATTTATTGAACCTGGCAACATGGTGGTGACTAGTATCCTTGAAAGAGAAAGGAAGCCAGACTAGAAAGGACTGAGAAATATGTACAAGGAAGAAAACTCTCATAGTCAAAAACTAGTTTTGCTCTTCCATAAACATCCCACAATTCTTCCTCTAAGGTTTCTTTCTTTCAGATTACTTGATCCTGGCTATCAAACTTGGGATTTTTTTTTTTCCAGCAAAGAATAGGAATGTTAACTTACAAAAAATAATTTTGTCTTTCCTCTGTCATAGTATTCAACAAGGCACTGATTCAGGATCATACAATAGAAAAGGCTCTACTTGCACTATCCCATGCTTGAGTTAAATGTCTAAAACAGGCCGTCAAACAACTGGGAGGTTTAGCCATTAAATAAAAATAAGCTAGAAAGTTTTAACCAAATAAAACACTAATGAAGCAGATAATGATGGACTTTAGATGAAGTCAAGCACTAAGAATGAAATCTGGCTGTACAAACCTATTGCCAAGAGCAAATTTTAAGTCTCATTATATTTTGAACTGATGAATCTCAATTTACAGTCAATGGATAAAGGAAATAAGATTTATATTATTTTTCTCACTTCAATTTTTTATTCTTGAGTATTACAGGTAGGTACTTCCATATGGCATCTTATATATAAATGTTTTGGCTCTCCAACTAAATTCTACAGGGACTAATTCTTCAACTTAATTAAAAAACTATCTTATATTCTACATCTGCCATTTAATACAGGGGTTTACATCTTCCACAATTCTTTAATAAATACATATTGTTTACCTAGTAGTGTTGTTGTTGTTGTTATGTGCTGTCGAGTCGGACCTGACTCATAGCACCCCCTGCTTGGGTTTCCGAGGCAGTATCACTATGGAAGTAGATTGCTTAACCTTCCACCCGAGGAGTGGCTGGTAGGTTTGAACCACCAGCCTCCTGGTTTAGCAGTCAAGTGCCTTAGGCACTATGCTACCAGAGCTCCCTCCCTAGTAATAAGCATTAAAATTTTTTGTTTTTAAATCATACCATACTGTTCCATGTGTTCTCTTCCAGCAAGTCCAAACAGCTGAGGAGCAAACGGGTGTGCAGACAATCCATATTTATTGATCATGAGCTGAAAATGTTGATCCATTGGATTGGTCCTATCTAGAAACTAAGAGAAGAGAAAAAACAAAATGTTAAAGGTGACAAAATCTCTTTCAACAACTGCAGTGTTACTCAGACATTTATTTAGGCTAACAGCATGCTGTAGTTGTTAGGTGCCATCAAGTCAGCACTAACTCATAGTGATGCTATGTACAACTTAATGAAAACACTGCCCACTCCAGCATCAGACTCACGATCCTTGCTATACCTGAGCCCAATGCAACCACTGTGTCAATGCATCTTGTTGAGGGCCTTCCCCTTTTTCAGTGACCCTCCACTTTATCAAGTATGATATCTTTCTCCAGGGAATGGTCCCTTCTGACAACATGACCAAAGCAGGTGAGACAAAGTCTGGCCATTCTCACTTCTAAGGAGGATTTGAGCTATACTTCTTCCAGCATGGATTTGTTAGTTCTTCTGGCAGTCCATGGTACTTTCAGTATTCTGTGCCAATACCACCACTCAAAAACAACTCTTCTTCAGTCTTCTTTATTCATTGTCTAGCTTTCACATGCATGTGAGGCTACTGAAAATACCATAGTGTGGGATGGGCGCACCTTAGTTTTCAAAACCAAAAAAAAAGAAAACTCATTGCCATCAAGTCAATTCCGACTCATAGCAACCCCCATTGGGTTTCCAAGGCTATAAATCTTTACAGAAGTAGATTGCCCACTCTTCCCTCTGTGGAGCGGCTGGTGGGTTTGAACTGCTGACCTTCTGGTTAGCAGCCAAATGCCTTATCCACTACATCACCAGAGCCCCTTTTAGTCTTCATAGAGATATCTTTGCTCTTCAGCATATTAAAGAGGTCTTCTGCAGCTGATTCTGCCTGATGCGATATGTCCTCTGATTTCTTGACTGCTGCTGCTATCGGTGTTGGTTGTGGAACCAAGTAATATTAAACCTTTGACAACTTCAATCTTTTCTCTGTTTATTGTAACGCTGCGTATCAGGGCAGTTATAAAGATTTTTGTTTTCTTTAGGTTGTGGTGTAATCCATACTACAGACTACAGTCTTTAATCCTCATCAATAAGTGCTTCAAGTCATCTTCACTTTCAGCAACCAAGGTTGTGTCACCTGCATATCGCAGGTTGTTAATGAGTCTTACTCCAATCCTGCTGCCACGTTCTTCATATAATCCAGCTTCTCAGATTATTTGTTCAGCATACAGATTGAATAAGTATGGTGAAAGAATACAACCCTGATGCACTCCCTTCCTGATTTTAAACCATGCAGTACCCCCTTGTTCTGCTCAAACACCAGCCTTCTCGTCTATGTACAGGTTCCTCATGAACACAATTAAGTATTCTGGAATTCCCATTTTTCTCAACATTATCCATAATTTGTCATGATCCAAACAGTCAAATCCTTTTTGCATAGTCCATAAAACACAAGTAAACATCTTTTTGGTATTCTTTGTTTTCAGCCACAGTACAACTGACATCAGCAACGATATCCCTCATTCCATGTCCTCTTCTGAATGTAGCTTGAATTTCTCGAAGTTCCATATCAATATACTGCTGCAACCATTTTTGAATTATCTTCAGCAAGATTTTACTTGTGTGTGATAATAATGATATTGTTTGGTAATTTCCACATTCTTTTGGATTATGTTACTTTGGAATGGGTACAAATAGGGTCTCTTCCAGTCAAATGGCCAGGTAACTGTCTCCCAAATTTCTGGACATAGACAAGTAAGTGCCTCCAGCATGGCATCATTTGTTGAAATATCTCAATCAGTATTCTGAAGAGTGTTCAGCCAGGGGGCAGTTTAAGCATAGGTACTGAAACAAGGCGGGCTTGTGCTTACTC